AAAGACAATCCTCAGGGCAATGGAAACCCTGTTGGTATACTAACTTTGAGGCACAGTACGTTCAGAATATTAAATCTCCTCTAAAAGGAAATTGACCTCATTTTTTCGATTTCTTACAGGGGGGGGGGGGGGTCCATTGTGATGCATTGGAACCTCTTCATGTAACCAACGAACAAAAATCAAGTTTGAAGGTTTCCGGTTGAGGAAATAAGCATCCAGAAAAAAATACCTCTCTACAACAAGCATGTGTATAATGATTTTCTCTCTATAAGAAAATTGTGGGTCCTTTTCCTGTTATACAGTGGTTCTCTACAATAAAATTATCTGTATAAAGAATTTTTTGATGCTCACGTGGCCCATTTAAGAACATTTTTTGGCATATGGTGTCATCATTTCCACATCCATTTTGCTAATGTTTTTTTTTTAGCTGAGCAGAATTTTATACACATCTCCACAGCCAGCTTGTGAGTTAAGTACTGTATAACATTCTTTGATACAGAATTTGAGAATGAAACATTCTTTAAAAATTGGAACACACAAGGTATTCCATTCTACGGAATGCAATACTGTTTACTTCCAAAAGGAGCAGTCAACTCTGGGACTAGGCCAGTGACTAATGATGCTCACGTTTCTACAATATCATCTCTACTCATATTCCTAGCGCAACTTCGCCGAAAATCTGGCGAGAGAAATAGGTCTTTCTCCACAATACATACTGATTTCGACAGGATTTCCGGTGCATTTACAGCAGTAAGAATCTTACACTGGAGCGCAGTTCACGCACATACTGGTTTTTAATCCAGTTAGTTGTTTTCACGCGAAATTGATGGAAGCAGACGGAAAATGTCGTCATTCGGACTCCGCGCTATTTCAAGAAGATTTTCAGTTTTTACCGACTAAACACAGTGTAACGGGTTTGCTTTCAAAACCTGACTCAAAATCACAGACAGCTCAGTCAACTCAAAACACGAGCGATCTTCTTCGGCTGGTATTCCAACAAACATTTGAATCCACGGTTTCATCAATCAAGGATACATTCATCATAATTTGCATGGTTATTTTCACCCTAACGCCATATTTACCCGAGTCCACCATTTATTTTATTATGATCTAGATGTCGCATGCATTACGGCACAAAATTAAGACAAGGGCTTGTTTGTTTCTTAGGGTTACGCAGTTTGCAGCAGTTAGCGTCATTTTTTATGCGATTCAAGCGACACCTGCACGACATTCCCGAAAGTACGATATTTCACCGAGAAAACGACTAGCCAAGTGCCTCAACAGGTTACGAAAATTGAAAACCCCTCTGGGAAAATGGGATTCGACAACTTGATTCTAACTTCGAGAATTTCCCTCTCTTTCGATTATAATAGAGCACATGAAGCATTTTATCAAAATAAATTACAGTAAAATAATCTCATCTCACTTGAGCAGTAGCAAGAAGAACCGACGGGTCAAATTTCGAACGAAACCTCCATGTCTCGCCATCACTGCACTCGACAATGGCTTCTTGGACGCATGGAACGTTCCCAACGCAGCCTGAATCGTCACTAAATTTTAAAAAGTAAAATTAACGATCTGCTTCATCCATTCCGACGCGATGGAAAAAGACAGAAAAAGAAAGTGAAACTCACTGAGGTTCTCCGATGTGAGACTAGCTTTCATAAGCTTGTTGCAAATAAATGACAACGCAGCCATGGCCTCAGTCCCGTCGCCGTTCCAACCGACAGCAGAAAGCAGCGAAACAGCACACGAGACCAGTTCGAATTTCAGGTACATCGACGTCAATGAAGGCAATCCCCAGGGTGACGGAAAACCCGTCCCAGTGAAAAGCAGAAAACAGAAAGGCCCTCTGCAACGAATCATTCAACAACAAGAACAAATCGTCAATTTACTTCTTAAAAGACGGCTTTTTTCTGCAGGTACCTCAACGTTTGTACCAACAATCCAGTTGTGTCCGGAGAGGGATGTTTGAAAAGAGATTTACATTTTGGCACGGGAGTCCACTTCAAACTATAAATCGGCAGGCGATGTCTGTAAAAAAAAGAAAGAAAATTTATGTCTAAACTCATTGACTCCATGAGATACAATCTTAAGAATTCTAAAAAATTACNCAAATATTCCCCGTAATTTGATTATTCAACTAAACCTCATACAGAAACAAGCTGAAGACCTATTGTGCTTTAAATTAATTTTTACATATATTTTGTTTTCAATGTCAGGGAATGAATGGGTGTATGCATACATGTCAGATGTCCAGTTGTATTTCATGTTGTATTGTATTTTATTTTATTTTTGTTATCAATTTGTGCTCTCCTGCTCTGAAGTGATTAAAATGTCATTGAGTGGATTTGGGTTGGGTGGGAAAGGGGTTTGCTTGTGGGAATCTTGATTGAACCTTGTGAACGCTGAAAAGGGCCAAATAAAGTGTTCTGTTCATTCTTTCATTCATAGACCTTTTCAAATTCCAACAATTGCATTTTAATTCCAAAGTTCAAAATGTGATGCATAAAAAGTTTCCTACCGTATGAGCTGTTGTCGCCAAAGGAGTAAACGCAGATGCGGTGAGCTGGCCAGTCAAAGGAATCTGGTTCACTCCCACTTGCCAGACACCCCCATCCATGCCCATGTAGCCGCGCACACCACTGTCATATTCGCACAACTTCACGAACAAATTTTCCTGCAAAAAAATGTACATCACATCATCTTCTGAAAAATTATGGAAGAAAGTAAAATCAAACACGCGTGTAACTGCGCTTGACAAAATATTCCTAAACTTCACGAAACAATTTTCAAAAAACATAAGCAACGAGTTCCTGAAAAATTCTGCAGGAATTTAAAATATAATAAGCGCGAAAATGCGCTTGGCAGAGCATTCCTGAACTTAACAAACCGATTCTCCTGCAACAAATAAAAAAATAGCGAACTTCTCGAAATATTTTTCAAGCACATCAAGTCCAACAGGCGTGAAAATACGCTCGTGGAAACAGTCACGAACTTCACGTAAAATATTTTCCTGCAGAAAAATATTCATAAAAANGCCTTCAAAATATTGAAAATATTGAATTTCTGACTTTCGTTCATACCTTCAATACGTATGTGTTGAAAATTATAACTACAGCACAGTGGTCTGTTATGCTCTAAAATCGCTGAAACATTCTCGTTTTTCGAGAGAATTGTGCAGTGAATCCCCACATAACGAAACTAATTCGCTTCCAGGTGTCCTTCGTTATGTGCAATTTCCCGTCATGCGAAACGCGATTTCCATTAAGGTTGCATTGTGGATGATTGAAAGTACAGTAACTTGTTTCAGACACTTACAAAAAAGCCATTATCTACTATCAAACTGATCCTTTTTCTAGTTTTTCGCAAAAGATTTGGAATTAAAAATGTATGATCATCAAACGTAATTAATCCTGATGAAATTGCACTCCGATCTTTCTGAATTTCACAGCTTGCATAAGTCAAGGAGTGGCAAATAAAAACCTTTTATTCTCATTTTCCTCAATTTTAAAATTTTCATAGAAAATTGTTAAAATCTGATTTTTCTTGGGCCATGAAATATTTTTATGCGAAAAATTTCGCCGTTTCCCCTCTTCCGATAATTTCGTCATACTGTATCAATATTTTCGTTGCGCGGGTCTTTCGTTATACGGGGACGCACTGAACAGGAAAATCGAACGGATCAACGTTCAAAAAACGCGATATCTAGCCCACTCACTCCGAATCACAAGTGTACAGCAGGACATTGGCCGAGTCCAGAATCTTGGACGACGTGGGATGCCAGGGTGCAGCACCGTCACACCCCTCGATCCCTTTCCAGCACACCAACACGGCAGTCGGGAAAACCGGGTCATCCAGGTAGACCTCGTTGCCCTCGCTTTCTGCACCGCGTCCCGGGATTTCGTACACGTCACCACCCAGAGAGAAACTCTCCACCAGGGACAACTTGCTCCGGCGAAGAGTCGTGGTCGAGCCGAAGGTTTGCGGGCTGCTGGACGTCGGGAATGGTTCGGGTTCCGTGCTCGGGTTCGTTGCGAGCGGGGACGGCATGACGGCGAGCCAACGAGGTCGTCCGCAAAGAAAAAGAGTCTTTCCTTTACCTCCCACTGAAAAAAAAAAGAAAATAGGAAAAATATGTTATTATATTTCATTAAAGAACTAGATATGCAATGAGATTCAGAACTCATAAGATGTGAGACAGCTCAACAATCAGAAGATAAAACGCATACAGTAATACAAAGAAAGTATACATACTATACTTTCTACACAGTGTCAAAAAATTTTTCCAAAAACTTCAATTCTCAACTTTTTTCTCGGATTTAAAAGGTAACGCCATAAAAAATCAGACACTTGGAAATAAAATACAGTACAGTATTGGCATTACAATTAAAACAGATTCCATCTGCCAACCATCTTGATTCCGGAAGTAAACAAAGCTTCACTTGATACAGAGCGAAAAATACCGTATTTACACGAATATAAGCAACCCTCAAACATAAGCATTCCCCTAGATTTTTTCATGCGCACAATTAAAATTCCATCAATAGGAAAATACGAGCACCCACTGGAATCTCTGAATTTCGAGGAGCCTAAAATTTCCGACTGAATTCAGGTTTTCCCAAAAATGGAAAAATAGTGTCACACAACCTTTCCCTGTCCCCTTCAGTAAATGACTCCTGCATTTTGACTTTCCGAAGGGTTAAAAGCTGACCATTTCTTGACTATTTTTGCCTTCAATTCCAAAAGAACTGAAGAAAAGACGTGCTTGATTGTTTCGTGGGAGTAACAAAGATTTCCTGATATAGACGCATATTCACGCAAATTGCGTAAATATTCAAATATCAGCCCCCACCCCCCTCCCTACTTCTTGAGCTTCAAAAATTGGAAGAAGGGGATTGCTTATATTCGCGTAAATACGGTACTTTTATTCAGAAGGAAAAGTCAAAGATTCTGAAACAAATGTGGCTCCCATTAAATATTTTTTGATAAATGAACGCTTTTTGTTGCTCTTGAGAGTCGAGCGTTGTCTTCTTCGTTCCTCAGTGTTTCGCTGTTCTTTAATGACTTTTCCCGCAGTGAAAATTATCTCAGTACCGGATGGAGGTGAGAAATCAAATAAAGTTCGACAATCGCATCAGGAAAAAAAAAAAAACTTCATTCTCGCCGAATCCAACCAAAAAACTTAGCATTTTGAGGCACAAAATTAACTACCGTGAATAAAACGAATACAAGATTGCATGCGTCTTCAACGAAAAACTCACCAGAGCAAATGGTGCCCGGAGTCTTCAACTTGAGATGCCTCAAGCCCGTGACGTCACCCGAACTTAGTAATTAACTACCGTGAATAAAACGAATACAAGATTGCATGCGTCTTCAACGAAAAACTCACCAGAGCAAATGGTGCCCGGAGTCTTCAACTTGAGATGCCTCAAGCCCGTGACGTCACCCGAACTTAATCCTACTTCCAATACCACAACAGATCCATCAGAGAAGATCATCATGAAGCTTTGGGCATCTCGCCACTCGGAGTAAACCAGAGAGACTTCGATCGACTCCAAGAGTTTCTGTTGGGAACAAAATAATGAATTACAGAGAATCAGGAACACTGTACAGTACTGTAATACTCATCCCAGACCTAAAGTATAAATGTCGTTTCTACGTTTCTCTAGGCATTTTAAATATTTCTGCGTTTAGGCCCGCCCTTGCTGAATGAGGATAGATGAAAACAAAAATATAGTACAATATTGTTTTCTGCAGCGAACAGAACTCGGCTTTATTTTTTTGATTTTAGATTTATTTGGAAAATATTCTAGCAATTTATTGATGAATAAAAAAATTTCAGCGACATCCCCCCGATAAATCGTTCAAAAAACGAAATAAAAAGAGGAAGTTTAATACCACTGTATCACACATTATCTTTGTAATACAAGGCATTTTTTCTCATCAGGACACATGCTGAATGAATTATTTGCTCAAAAAATAATTCTTTCTCCATGCAGTGGAGACCGAACTGCGGATACTTATGTGGTAATCCTTACACAGTATATCGAAAGGTTAGAAAAAACGGATTACAATAAAATTAAGGCAATAAGTATGCAAAAATTTTAAAATCAAGCCATGCTTTTATTTTAAACGTGACGCGACTCGAGACTGATAAAATAGTCGAGAATTGGCCCGAGGGAAAATGGGCATTAACGTCTTCATTTCCAAGGCAGTGGACATTTCGAAGTCGAGCAGAGAAAAATCATGTTTACCTCCACGTCTTTTAATGTTAGTGAATTCCTGAGTGAAGTCCACGTTTTTCCAGCTTTCCCGTGCCATTTTACTCCCCGTTGGACAGTGTACTGATAATGTGCCTTTTCCAGAGGGTTATCATCGTCCACTTCTTTATCTTTTTTGTGGTATCTGAAAAATCGAGAAGAGCAAGTCCGATTAATCAACTTTTTCCCCTTTTGTATAGTTGCGGTACAGTATTAATTTTCGCAGGAAGATAAGGTCCATGTTATCGCACAGTAAGGAAAAATTCGTTGATCAAATTTTGCCCCAACTGGGATAGTTTGTGCATGATTTGCTCCTCCATCCATTTATGAATTCAAATGTAGTACGGTATTCAATTGAACCTGGCTAACTTAAACCTCCCGAAGTCGAAAATATCCACACGTTAAACTCGAATTTTGTCTAGTTGTCTTTGTCTTAATTGTCTTTAGGATCAATAAATCAAAAGCGTCCCCAACTAAAAGTCTTTTCCCTAAACCGTCCATAAATAAATTTCCTCGAGGCCTTCGGGCTAAAACTCTAAGGAACCCAGGAGAGAGAAAATCAGTAAAAATTTAACGATGTTTTTCGTAGGGAAGTGAGTGACTCATTGGACAAACGTAGCCTTATCTCAAAATTTAGCATCCGGTTAATTAATTCACAGAGCACTAAACACATTCACAAGAGCCAAAAGGTACCGTATTTCTTGAATACCACACACACCTTTTTATTTCAATAATTTGGAACGAAAAATGAGTTGCACATCATTTTAGTCGGGTACAAGGTTTCAGCGGACATTTTTCAACAATCATAAAGTTTTCTCCCCAATTCAAATTTTTTCGGAATTCTTAATTTTAAAAACAAAAATGTGATCACAAATTTCAATTTTCGAATGGGTTCCATCCAGATTTTTAACCAACAGTTTTTCAAATACAGTTAGATCTGTGGTAACTAAAACCTAAGGTGTGCATCTTAACATTCTTCACAAAATTGTATCCAAAATCGTGGGTGCTCGTCTTACTCGGGGGCGCGTGTTACTCGAGTGAATACAGTAACTTATTTTATCTTCCTATCATTCTTCAAATTGTTTCCCCATTAAAAATGCTGGTTCAACTCAAAAAAGCTGCGTCAACTTTTCGTTCGAGTCCATCTGACTTTGACCCGAAGAGGTTCAACCGCATAAAATAGAGCTAATTGAATATGATATTAAAAAAATCATTTCAGCTGTATTCCCCTCGCAATGCCGAACAATCTTGGCTAAAAATAGAGCGATTCCGGGATAATTGCTTGCTTGGGACACGTAGAGTAGAGAGGTAGATTAAAC